TTTTGATTTCGGGTATCGAACCCCATCGGTTTATGCTCAGTTATATGAGTATATTGTATATAAATATAATTTAGTGTATATAATAGTTGCGACTTACGATTTTGTTATTGTTATTGTTTCTGACCCTATTTTTGGTCTCAGCAGTAGGACAAATCTAAACAGGCCTAATAATAAACTATTTGATGATTGAAATTGGCCTAATATTTAAAATTGAGTTTCAATTAGTGGTTTTGATTTCGGGTATCGGACCCATCAGTTTATGCTCAGGTATATGAGTATATTGTGTATAAATATAATTTAGTGTATGTAATAGTTGCGACTTACGATTTTATTGTTGTTATTGTTTCTTATCCTATTTTTGGTCAGGACAAATCTAAACAGACCCCTGAAGGAATCATATGCTACCACTTGATCAGATATCAGAGTTAGGCTGCCTTCTCCTCAAGAAAAATGAGAGTTTTACCTGCAGACGCTATCTGCCACAAAAAAATGATCAAATGAACAGCTAAGAGCACAGAGAAGACATGGATGAAGCCAAAGCCAAGAAAACCCCACCACTCAGTAACTTGTCAATGTCCAGATCGGCCACCCAAAACCATTTCTCCTCTTCCGTGCTTGTGTTGTTCTTTGTGATCGTCGTTTCTGAGTGGGCAATGCATTGCATCAAACACCATCAAGCATCATCTTTTTCGTTTGCCAACACCCAAAACACTTGCCCATTTGTTTCGACATGTTCATCTCTGATGGATAAATCCATTTGCACCGGCTGCAGCTCCGGACATGTGAGTAGAATGTTTTGGATCCTCAGCTCTTCGTCTCGCTCGGGAACAAAGCGTGAGGCACATCGGCCGTGAAGTTAGTATGTTGTTTAGTACGGACTGCAACTTGGTTTGGACATTATAGTTTGTCTTCTAGGGTTTCCCTGCGACAGGCAATATAATACATGCTCCATGGTTAGCTTAGTTTAGTGGCCATACCCTCATCGTAATGAGCATTAGATTATATGTAGAACACCACTCACCACTAACATAAGGTCTTACAATGCGCAAATGCTTAATGGACAGTGTCAAGTAGTAATCAACTCCGGATTAGGCCAACTAAGAGAACTCGAACAACACAAGAGAATGCAGTGCTCAACTCCGGATTAGGCCACAAGAGAGAGCCATCAACAATGTAGCCGCGTCTCTTTCATCCTGTGGGAACACCTCGTGGAGTGCAGCTGAGTTGGTGCCACGAAAGAGCAGCTTCCTCTTCTTAAACGGGACGCGACTGTCATGCATGTCTTGCTTCTTCTCTGTGTGTGTCCCGCTTGGGGCATCGGAGGGGATCACCCCACTGTTCATGGCAGCAGCTTCCATTGCCCGTCTCGCCTTCCGCTGTCGTATTCCACAAGCATTACAGAGGGACTGCAGAGCAAAGTAGAGGATGAAGCAAGGCTACCGTCGATGCATGGATCAGACATCATCAACAATCGTATACCTTGGGGCCGCGAGGGCCGCTTCTCCACAGAGGAGTCTTCGTTGTGCTACAGTTAGAGCAGACTCTGACTTGCTCAGCTTGTATTTGGTCTCCTCTTGGTTTTCCACCTTCAGAACTCATCATCATCTTCTTCATGATCCCCATCTCATCCTCTTCTTCTGTAGTACATACCCAGTGATAGTTTGACTCACCGATCATCAACGAGTGATCCTTGGGCTACCACAGACGGAAGATGCGAAGATAATAAGCTATTGCACCGTAACCAGTGTCTCAAAGAAAGCTACACCATGACACGAACTCGATTCGATGCACAAGTAGTGCGTTACCTCTTGTTGCGGTAACTGTTTTGGGAGGGAGTCGTGTCCACCATCCGCTCCATGATCATGAGGGTCGTTGAAGAAAATGGGACATGAGAATGAAGAGGTCTCGTTTGCAGCTACTACTGTGAAGAGAGGGTGACTGGTTCGATCTTGATCTCCCTCCGACAGAGGGATATCAGCAGCGTGGTTCAAGTCGAATGGAGACATGGGAAGACAGAGAGAAGAGAGGAGAGGAGAGGAGGAGTAGGGTACCAAGGAGAAGACACTGGGCCAGAAGGCCTTTTATCGATGAAGAAGAGGTTGATCAATCAAATGATGGAACAGTAAATTTTCCCGAGGGAGTAGCTTACTGGCATTCACGTGACCATGCCACATAGAGAGAGAATGATGCTCGATATAGACACATATGATAGAGAAATGAAGGATACATTGCAACCAAATACTAGAGTACTCCAAGACACCATGAACACAACTTGTGGAACCAATAAGATGAGATGAACACTCACCAGCAACTGATCGAGAACACAGAGGAGGTGATGGGCACGTAATTAATGCGAGAGTTGGCTAAGGGTTAGTACTTTGGGATTCACCACTCACGTTCACAGAGCAGAAAGAGTGACCACATCTCATCTTGTCCATTTACTCCCACTGTTGTTCTTGGTCCTGTGAGAAGTGGTAATCATTGAAGGACACATCTCTTCATTGACATCATATGCTTCCAATTGGCATAAACCAAAAGAAAGATCTAAATGAAGCTATGGTACTAGAAACTTCACTGTTGGAATGGGCATTTTTTTTTGACTCATCTTGTGGCCTCGAAGTCACCATATTTCCTAACAATCAGACAAGAGGTACACTGTTCCGTCTGAGTTGTCAACCTGGAGGCATCTCCTGAATCAAGTTGAGATGTAAAAAGCTTATGCGAAGCTCATACCCAAATCGACTGATGAGTATGTCTATGCTTCAAGTTCGTTAAGCATCTTATCCTCATCATAATCCAGCTTTGGTTGGACAGACGGTATCATTGTAATTTTTTTTGACTGAGTTCGGATAAGTATATATCCTGCCTGCTTTAGAGAGAGAGAGAGAGAGAGAGAGAGAGAGAGAGAGAATTCACTGACAGGACGTGGAAGGCGTAGAGCACAACCAAGAAAGTGTAGCTTTCGAGAGGGCATCTACAGTGGTCATGGCTTGAAGCTACAAGACACTGTAGACAGCATGCTACATGGACCTGTTCTCTCTCTAAAGAATCCCCAGACGATTTGGCCTCTCCTTTTATGAGACTCTCCAAAGGATTCAGTTGATTGGCATCCGAAGGGCCTCTGAGTGCGCGAATGATCATTCTTGGACTTCTCTAATGGCTCTTGGTGATGAGGATTATCCTTCATTTAGTTTTTCGTATCCCAGAAAATGGAGAGAGAGAGAGAGAGAGAGAGAGAGAGAGGACAAGGGAATTTAGTTGGTTGATGTATACACATACATGGTGGATACCATACCTAGGAACCAGAATGTCGGCAACAGCGTGAAGAGAGAGTACAAAGAGACAACCTGTTCTATCACAATGATGACAACTTGTTTTGGTACATACCTCCCCCCCTTCTCAATCAGATCGAGTAGGGTTCAGATCTCTCACTCTCTTTCTTACGTGCGCACACGTACGGACGTCCTCACCAATTATTGTGGGTGGATCGTTCATATTCAAAATCACATTGGAGAATCATTTCGATGCTAGATAGGATTGCATGGCATGGTTAAGATTCGTTTTTCTTTTTCCTCTCAACTTTCTAATAATAATACGTTAGTATCAAATTAATCCGACCTAGTCTATTTTTCAAATATTACGGTGACAGGATCGTGGTAAGGGAAGAGAAAAGGGCCATATAATCCAATTGGGATCCCCACATAAGCTAATATTTTTTCAAACATTAACTGACGTGAAACATTATACAGTTAAAGAATTGGAAAAAACGGATACAACGATACACAAAGGTAAGGATGAACACGAGAAACTAACATTTTATTGAGACTGTAAACAGGGGGTCTGCGACTTGTGCATCCCTTCAATTTTTTTTGTTTTTCCTCTCTTTCCTGTACCTTTTTTTTTTTCCCACAACGACAATAGTTACAACTTTGAGCTGATGTGTACAGTTTCAATCAGTTTCAGATTCGACTTGTGAATCCAAAACAAAATGACGGAATTATGTGCTACAGTGATATAAGCACCACATCAATATACGAGTTTGAACTAATACCAATCTTAACTCTTTAAGCTGCACTTCGCACAGCTTCAGGACTGGATCACATGCCTCTAGCCAAAACCTTTTTGTTGACAGATCTCTTGGGAAACTCTAATTTGAACTGATCTAGAGAACACATTTATCTGTTCCGATAAGGGTATATTTTGCAACAAGGAGTGCCTTTCGCTGTTCCAGCCGGAACACATTCTTAATTTACATGGCTCGCGATGTCTTCAGCCGGTAGCTACACATGTTATTGGGCAACATGTAAAGCCATCAATTTGCAACCACCAACTTTTGCAGCTGCCTAAGAGGTAACAAAAGCTGTGCAAAAGACGGACGTTTATTCGGCTCACTGCATGATCAACCAACAGTGTTAGAGCAATATTTATTAACTATGTATTTCAACCAGCGAATTAATTTTGAAACCAACATTTATTGTTTCCAATAGTATAGGCACAAAGAATGATCTAAAAATGTTAATTTCTATACAATTGCCACTCTAGTTAAAGTGGCATCACCTTAAAAAGTCAGTTCAAATATAGACATAATCCAAAGTTGCAGACACCAGGAAAATATAATTTGGTATCACTAGACCCACTTAGGGCTGCCAAATGGATCAGATGCAACTCTAACCTCCTCATTCACAACCCGATCATTAACTCAAGTTGGGTTGAGTCAAGGCTGATCCAAAATGCAACCCCAGCCTTTTCTTCATCACTTAACCAAGTCCAACCCGATCTATTGTATACTTGAACATCATTTTTTCTAGCTACATAGGCCCCAAACAACTCAACTCAACCCATGACTGACCCAACCTAAGGAAGCTGATTGTGGTCGAAAACCCTAAACCTGGCCTCTGGTTGTGTGTTAACCATTAACCAGCCTGAGTAACATTCTAGGGCCAAAGTTCTTCAAAAATAGATCATTTTTACTAATTAACATTCCTTTTTCCTCTGATCTAACAACTTTGCAATTTGGAAAAAGTAAATTTGCTAATTCACAAATGCAAACGGCAGTGGTACAAGAGGTTAGTAGAAGCTGCCATGCTGCTATCAATGTGAGCCAGAGTGGCTTACCTTTCCCAACAATCAGTTATTATTTGTGCAACCACTGGATCAACCTCTTTAGGTATGTCAAGACGTCTGTTCTGGAACCCCACAGCTCCAACTACTTGCATTGAGTTCATCCCACCCCATGGTTTGCGCAAAGTAGCTAATTCCCACAATATGACACCAAAGCTGTAAACATCACATCTGAGACACATAGAAGCTTCTTATTACCAAGAGTCAAAAAAATTTAAACATAGAAACTTCTCCAGAGTCAAAAAAATTTATCCAAATGTCAAACTTACTTCTCGTTTGATGGTTCATTTCGTAAGACCTCCGGTGCCATCCACTCTGGCTGCAGGAGTGAATAATCAGATGGTACATCATAACAAAAAATTGACAACATACTGATTCTAAGAAAAACATGATGTTTTTCCACACAGAATCTTTTATTAAAATTAAAATTTAAACAACAAAAAGATAATGATAGGCCATGTGAAACTGCACAAGCTTAAAAATGAAGTTGAAAAAAAAAAAAATCAAAGACCTAAGAATATAAATCATTGGAGTGATTAAAATCAAAAGTACTTGAATACGAGCTGATAAAAGCATGGCAATTTTTTAATATACAATGATAATAAGAACCAACACTTTTATGAAATTATTGCAAAATACAAATACCAGAGAGTACTTGATGTCAGAGGCTGAAATGATGTAAAAGGATCATGAAAATAACATTTGAGAATTTGATTACAAGTACGAAGCCTGGACAATGATGTGAGAACAAAGACAAGTTGCTCAATAATATCACTAAACCATTGGCAATTTATGAGCATCCTCTACAGTCACAGACAGAAAAATGAACATGAGGAAGGGCTGAAAACCAGTAAATGTTGGATGAATCACTTTTGAATCATGCCATAGAACATGTTTAGTTTTTACTATGTAAACTAAATATCTTCTGGACTTTTACCTTCGGTAGTCCTTTATTAGAACAAGTGGGTCAGATTCAGATCATATCTACCTAGAATACCAATCCAATGATCTTATGGATTTAGACAATGAATCCATACCCAATAACTTGAGAGTGATTTATAAACATCAACAGATGTAATCCTAAATCCAGATCTGATCCAACAAGGTAAATGAATCTGAAGATACCTAAGCAACAATTTAGGTCAGGTTTTAGGTTATCGGTCCACGTTAACATTCCTACTTGAAATCTAAATTCAGTATTAATGATCTAAGGGGAAATTGGCGAAAGTAAATTATTTTTGGTGAAGTTAACAAATTGGTAAAATATATGACCAAAAAAATGCTTAATGCAATGGAATAAGAAATGTACTGTTCCAGATGTTGACTTCGATGACAAGAAGGTGTGATGCTTCAGCCTTGACAAGCCAAAATCACAGACCTGAGACAATCAAATGCAAAGTATATTTTTCAGATACAAGTGTAGAACAAAATCAATGGACACCATATCATTTGCATCATTTATAAAACACAAAACAGCATTATTGAAATCACAACCATCTAGTACATCCATCATTGTTTGCTTTTAACTGTATGTAGCTAGGAGTCTAAGAGCATACTTGTTTAGATATTCTGATAGCAAAAAGCGACACCAACAATTAGCATATATAGTATGAATCACAATGTAAGAACCAAAAAGGTCAACAGAGGTTTATACTATTAACTTGTTTGGAAAACAACTACCGTTTCAAAGTGGAGAATTAACTGCATCATTTTGTTACAAATATTAGTTTGCTTTCTCGATAGAAGTACCAGAATTACACCATCCAAAATAGATTTTCTCGAATCATTCTTTAATAACAGCAACTAAGTGATTAACATGCTAAATTCCTGTTTCAAGCACTGATTAATAGTTCTACTGATTCTTGGATTATATATCTACACATGAACATCTTAGAAATTCCACTTGATATTCAAACTTATGCAACTGGTCCTTAAGCAATATAACAGTCTGCCAAATTAAACAAGAATTCTATAAAACTCACCATAGCGATTGGAGTTAGACAGGTAACCACTTAAACAAAATGGTCAGAGTTTGACATCTTAGTCATCATGATGAACCTACCACCATAAGCAACTATGATTTTGATGCATAACAACTGGATCAAACCTACTGACCTAGTCAAAGCAGAATTTCCTATAGAAATTGAATATGTAGCATATTATACATTAGATAAGTCAGACGGCATGATCAGCCAAGAAGATCATTGATGAGCTTACAGTAAAGTATTATACTTAGGTCATTCAGAATAAAAGAGATCCCAGACACCATTCTCCATTGCAACTTGGACACATGATTCTCACCAAACCCCACCAAAAGATCTGAAAATTCAGAGTTAGAAAAACAGGTAATGATAATTCTTGGAGACATGTATGTAACAAGAGTCCGCATCATGTGATGAAAAGTGAAATAGAAACATTTGCTGTCAGCTCTCCATCTGGAAAATGAACTTTTGTACTATAAAAAATAATTTGTGCTTCTCCTTAAAAGCAACTAGGAACATATTGTGTAGCTCAACAAAACAATCATCACACATTCCACAAGCAACAATGTTCATTAGCATTCGGCTATTCAGTACAGGAATAACACAAGATGTCCATATTAGCAATCTGTCAAACTTCACAAAAAGTATTGTAATAATTAAATCTGAGAGAGTACCTTGACCACCCAACTCTTATCAACAAGAAGATTTGGAGACTTCAGATCCCGATGCACAATAGTTGGATGACTAGCGTGCAAGTAGTTCATCCCTTTGGCCTGTCAATACGATCCAGGTTGAACTGAAGGTGGATAAAGCATGCATAACCAGATAAAGATCACAAATAAATGAACTAGTACCACATCCAATGCCATCTTTAGTCGTCGTTTTTCATCAAGTTGAACATTAGGGCGATGCAACAATCTATATAAACTTCCCCTGTGAAAAGAAGAAAGTATTTTGCAATAATTTAAAGTACGATGTTAGATTCAATGTGGTTATATGACTAATGGACATAGTATCAAAAAAACCTTTTTTTCTTTCTTCTGCTTTGTGAAACGGACAAAATAAACTGAGCAATCAAGTGTTTATCATGTGGACTTCTGCCAGAATTGTTGCTACTTTAGTAAAAATGTCAACATGCTACTAGCTTCTCATTTAAATTACACTATGATGCGCCTTACAAGTGATCGAAAACTTGGCATAAATTGTTGGTAGTAGGTCACTAAATAAATGCAAGATCAACCCTTATTGCTATGAAGTCAACATATGTCATGATCCCAAGACCAATATATGAAAACCAGTTGGACCATACTGGTAAGCAAGGATTGCAATCTCATACCAGTGTACTACACTAGTCCCTAGCCAGACTGGTACGTAACGACCATTACACAACATGGGACACTGGTGTGTGCTGAGAAGGACAAGAGGTGGCAGTGGAGGAAGAGGAAGGAGGAGGAGGAAGGAAAAATAGGAAGAAGGAAGAAGATGAGGTAATGAAGGAAGAATAGGAAGGAGAGGAGGTGGTGGAGGAAGAGAAGAAAAGGAGCAAGACTAATGACAGTAGTGAATAGTGATGACAGTGGGCAATGGGGAGGTAGGCGGCGGCTAACTATGCGCATCGAGGCTCTCATGATTAGGGATGGAAGGCATGCAATTATTTTCTACATGGCCGGATCAGACCGCCATAAATGGGTCAGGTGCACATATTGATTCACACCTGGACTGATACTTACGACTGATATGCATCGGTCCAAGTGATAAGAAATTCCATGCTGGTAAGCAAGGTTTGTCATCTTAAACTGACCAGGCATATTGATTCTTATCTGCAACAATACGTACTGAAGACTCGAATATGAAGAATATAAAGGAGTAGAAGGAAGAAATAGTGATGGAGAAAGAGGAAGGAGGAAAAGAAATGAAGAAGAGAAAGGAAGAAAAGGAGGCAATGGACGAAGAGGAGGAAGAAGAAGGAAAAATGAAGAGGATGAAAGAAGAGGAGGCGATGGTGGAAGAGGAGAGAGAAGAGGAAGGAGGAGGAAGAGGAAGGAAGAAGAGAAAGCTTACCCTAAATTGGAAGCGCACAACCGGCGGTGGGTGGCAACAGTAGGCTTTGCAAGTATGGTGAATGATCATGAGCCCTAAACCAGCAGTGTTAAATAGGTTTTATTTTAATGTCAGAATAGACCACCCAAAAAGGGTGCAGTCCACATTCCGATTCACGGACCGACAGGTACCACTAGTTTCATACCGGTCTGAGCGAAATGGCAGTCTATTCTGGTAAGTCACATTTCTTTTATTCTCTCAATTCATTCTTGGTTATATTGGGCTAGTAGTACCATACTGGCGGGGGTCACTAAAGAAGAGGTCAGGGAAGACATCCTAACATCAATCAAAACCGTTGGATGTCAGGTTTCTATTTTACATAAGTTCTCTGTTCTGTTTCCTTTAGTTTCCGAGCATTCTGAAGTTTCATGTCGTGCCGTGAGACATAACATGTCAACCATTGACTAAAACAGGGAGTTTTGGCAAAAATACCTGAATGGCATGCTGGAGTACTGGACCAATAACATGATGACTATTTGTCCAGTACCTTGCAAAAATGGCCTTTACAATTTGTCAAAAAATAATAATAATAAGCTTGACCCGAGTTAATTGTTGTAGACCACAAATTCATATCAATCCAACTTGCATTCTTTGTCTATCGGATTAATTGGTTGATATTTGATATAATACCAAAACGGTCATATTGGATCTTTCTAGTAAGCAAAAGCATGCCTAAGTGATATACCTCAGGTACACCAAGATAGAATACTTCTAGTTGGCCAATGTGAAAATTCTGAAGAGGATTCTGGGCTAAGCCCCCAACTAACATGAGAAATGTTGGACCGGTACATAGTGCTAGATCAAACTACTATAAAAAGGTTAGAATTGAACATTTTCAGTCACATGATATGACCAACTATGTATACATACATGTGTGTATACATGTATGTATGTATATACATACATATATACATAAATACATACATGTATACATATATACATACATACATATACACATACATACATGTATATATATATATACATACATACATACATACATACATACATACATACATATATATATATATATATATATATATATATATATATATATATATATATATATATATTACATAGGACAAGTAGAAAAAGTATGTTGAACAAACCTTGGAAGAAACTCTGTTAGTATTGACAAATTTGGAGGACGGGTCACTGCTCCCATGAAAAGAACAACATTGGGATGTCGTAGCCTTGACATGATTTTGACCTACACCCATAAACTCATTACAAATTAATTTGAAGTTAAAAAACAATAGCAAACTCCAGGTTTCATTATTAAAAATGTAAGAATGCAACATGTTGAAATCATCTAAAGCTTACTTCATATCTAAATTGCTCCAGAGCATCACCAGAGAGATCCTGATCCAAAAATTTCTTCACGGCAACTTCCTGGAAAGATGACCATGTTGCATCAAAAAGATCAAGAATGGAAATAGACAATTCTCAAGCAATCATCCAACTAGACAAATAAATCAAGCAACCATCAATCAATTCCACCACCATCCTTAAATCTCCAAGATCTTCAAAAGCTCCAAGTTGTATTTTATTGAAGTCTAGAAGTTTACAGGTTCATTGATAAAATAAGAACAAAAAATTGACAATCTAGTATTACATTTAACTAGCATTATCATAAAAATGGTTTAAAAAGGTTCGTCAAAATGCTAAAACAAAATAATTTGCAGTCAATTCCCTAAAAGAATTCAATAGAATTCCTTTTTAAAATTAACTAGAATTGACTATTAAGTTCTTTTAATTTAATGAAAGACAGCTTCCACATAAAATAAGTTTACAGTTTAAATGGAAGGAGACAAGGGTATTTGACCTCCCATAAATTATGGTGTCCAAAAATGGAATTGCATCTCCAATCCCTCTCAGGTGGACTTGCAAATCCTTCCTCACTACCAGAGTAAATTCACCATTAACCATTTTTATTTCTTGTTAAAATCTTAATTATTGCAAAATCTGATTAGAAACTTGAAAATCCCTAGAATAAATATTTAGACTGCGATATAAGTACTTTATGCATCTATAACCACACTAAAAACTTAATAACTCATGATGAACATTCCTACCAGTCAAGGAAAAAAAATTATTTATTTGTTATGATAAAATGTAAGCATCATCACTTCAATGCATTTTTCTATCTGCTTTAACAAGATAAGGATATAGCAGATTTTGTCCAGAAAACAATAGAATTACGAAAATAAATTACAAGATTATAGCTTACAGTGCCGTTCCAGTCTGCACGATAGACTTCCCCATACGAACCTGCAACATAAGAAGTTCTACTATGATAAGAATTTCTAATAAGAAGTGTCAATAAATAACTACTGGCCGATGGATGTAGTTTATGTTTGACTTCTAGGACTATGCATTGAAAAACCGAGCTTAAATATTGTTTCCAGATTAGACTTCCCGTGGAATAGTCCCTCAAAGAAATGAAGGCATGAGTTTCATATTTTAAAAACTCAGCAGAAAACTAGAAAGTGGAAAAAAAGGTAACACTCACAAATGAAAAACAAAAGGAGAAAAACAATAGATTAAAAAGCAGAAAGGAGGAGAAAGGAAATGCTGACAAGAGCCAAAAGCATGAACCAAATGCTAGTTAAGCCCCTGAAAACATTATTGTGGAAAATGCAGACCGAAACTCTTTGAAACAATAGCAGAACTGTGCAAATCTTGGAAAGCTTCCTATGATCACTGATAATGGTTCATGCAAGTCAATCATAAAGGTGACTGTGCAATAAAAATTCATCTTCTCAAGTTAATTTTGAAAATGTCAATTAAGCTCATACAAGAACTAGACAACCATTAGGCAAGTTGGAAAACCAAACTGATTAATGTTGTAACTGACATCTTAAAGAAGTGGCAAAGTGGATACTCTGAGCTACAAGCTTGCAGGCTGAATATGCAAAATTTTCTTTCACAAAGAACAATATAAGAAAGATTTAAAGAAAAAGCATCATAAAAAGTTTGTGAAACTTTAAAAATTGAAGTTTCAGTGGATTTATCATCCAAAAACAGATAAAGTTCATTAGATTAACAAATTGAAGAACCTGCTTCATTTAAAATACCTACCTAGACCAATTCTCTCTCCAATCCGAAGATCTTCCCACGGTATCTCCCATTCGGCAACTGCATCTAGTATTTTACTTGTTTGTTCATTGTCAGAAGTACATAAGCCATGCAGATTAGTTTGATAGAGTTTTCCAGTAGAATCTATTGTACTCTCTTGAAAATCTTCAGAAGGAATATCCTCATGTCCATCAAAATTAAAGGTTCTTCCTGAATTTTCCTGAGAAATATGTGCAACTGATGATCCAAGAATACTTGCACAACCTTTATGGCTGGACTCAGCTTCACATGGCATAGAATATGCATTCAATTGTTTCATGCATGAAGATCTTGACATGACTGCACTATCAAGAACTGGACCAGTGAATTTACCAAAGGAATCATCAATACTTCCATCCACCTGAGCATCAGGTAAGACTAACCACTCATTTGTTTTTTCTATAGGCGAACACATGCTTTCATCAATATTTTGTATTGAATCTTCACCAAGATGTTGATTCTTTTTTCCATTATCAGCATTCATTGGACATTCTGCTTCCATTGAGGGTGAAACAGAAGGATCAAATTTTGAAGTCAAACAGATCACAGGTAACTCTGGCTCAATTCTTCCTTCTTTTGCCTCCTTGCAATCGCTTTGGCTATGGCCCTGTTCTATTGAATTTGGTGGACTTAAATCAAAAAACAAATCAAGCGGAGGTGATGCACCACTTTCTAACAAAACTGCACGCAATTTCTGAGCAAACTCAGGGTTCTTTGCTGCAGTGACAACATATTTGGAAACATCATTAACTTTCATCTGTTGAGAAGAGGAAATAACTTCTTTAGGTTTTATTGTGTCCGCTTGTGGCCTAATAGGCAGAGGGCAGAGCTTTCCATGTTCATCTTCACATCTTACAAGTTCATTGTTCTCAGCATTATTTACATCAATATCTTCTGTTTCAGCAACCAAGCTTGAACTTTCTTCTAGCTGCAGTCCAAGTTGTCCTGACAATAAGCTGTTATCAGAACTTCCTTCTAATAAATCAGTTTTCCTCTCAATCTGGCAACTAGCTTTATCAAGAGCTATGCATAAATCCTTAACAGTCTGTTCAATCGTCTCCGAGCCCAGCAAAAAGTTTCCAGAACTTTCAAGATGAATGCTGGGATTCTCAGTAGGAATTAATGTGCCCGGTGCTCCCATAAGATCCACGATGTATTCACTGTTACAGATGAAAAGATGTATTAATTTTATTTCAAATTATATACTTACGTAACTCTTTTTTTAAATGTCCACAATCTGGTTGTATGGATTCAACAATTATTGTTGATTACAAAAATAACAACTACAAAAACTTTGCAGCTTGCTGAGAACAAAATCAATTTTGTCATACAAGAAATAACACAAGCTCAAAACGGAAAGGGAGATGTTAGAAATTCACATCTTCAGACTAATTATTACAGGAAGAGTTACAACATGATTAATGAAGGTAAAATAAATCATCATCATCGAAGTATCCAAGACTGCACCCATCAAAATGGGGTCTGCTGTGATAAGATCTGAGGTACCATTGAAGGTGCTAACAAGTATCAGTGGAAAAGCCAAATCATGCGTAAGAAGTACATACAGTGAAGCCACACTAATGAAAGAAAGCATTCCACAAGCTTAAATTTTTGCGTAACATCCAGAAAACAAAGTCTCATAAAGATTAAGCACCACAGTATTTTGTCACATAGACGAAACCAATGGAATTCGTCTATGGAATTAAACTCCACAGTATTTTGTTTCAAACAACCAAGATCCACATTAACAGGTAAAGCACTCGGTCGGACAACCAAATCCAAACTACTACAGAGATATAATGATTTTAAATCCAACAATAAAAAATCTTTAACTCATCCTCCAATGTCATTAGACTAGAATTTTTGCCAAGTTTTGCTTTCCTCAAAAAGTGATTATCATAGTTTTAGTCTAACAGTCATAGGATTAGTGATCAAAAAAATCATCATAGCAATGAAGGCTTCTAAACCAATTCATCGCAATTGCATGTTAAAACCATGAAAAGTGATAGTCACTTGAATCTTAGACAGAAATACAACTATGGAAGGTGATGTTGTAAAGGAGAAAAAAATGGAAGCAGAAAACTGATTTCATGCCCCATCGAGAACACAAATTCTCTTAATAACTTGATTTGATGGAGAACAGAAATTATTTTAATAACATCATATATTATTTGAAAAATCAAACCAAAAAAAAAACTCAAATTAAATTTTAGTTTATTTTTTTTCATGTAGCACAACTTCATTTTGACAACAAGAAGATGTAGATTCTTCCTTGCCTCCTGCATATCTGTCGACTTTGAAGTTTTTAAAGAACCTGCTGATTTTTATTTTGGATATAGTGAAGACTTAATATTCTTTTTTAATACAACTGCAATACGCAAACATTCTTATTTTCTTATCTACATTATCAACAATAAGTTGCAGATCCGACTTACTATCTTGCCTAACCAATATGCTTATAAAGTCCTATGTAGACATGTCAAAGCCACCATTAATGGGTCTTTCCTTGACCACCCTTAACTTAGACCAAGAGTCTAAATCTTGGCCAGGGAATAAAATTTGTCCTTGGGCAATCAGTTCAGTACAAGTACAATGGGCTATACTATGTGTCGACACATGACATGAGTACAGGTCCAATGAGAGGAGACATAGAAGGAGGTGGAAGAGGAAGGGTAGGAGGAGAAAGAGACAACAAAGAGGCAGAGAAAGAGGAACCAAAGGAGGAGGACGAGGAGGAACCAAAAGAAGAAAGAGAAATAGGAGACAGCAACACAACAAAAGAAGGAACAACAGCAGTCGCGACAAGGAGGCCAAAAATAGATGAATGCCAAGGCGGTGTGATGGATTAGTTGGCCTAGTAACTTTAGGAGTTGTGTGAAAAATTGAAGAGTCATTTGCTCTGTCTAGGTGCTAACCTTGGAACTCTACTCCTGTATTAAGTGCACTTTTTTTCTTTTTAGCTGTAATAAATTGTCTTAAAGTTGTTAAGATCTCCTAGAAGTCACATTTTGGGAATCTGGAAGGCATACAAGTTCCCTACAAGGTTACTCTTAGGAATCATTACATATATTGATTGTACTAAGGCTTCTAAATCCCTATAAATATTGAGGCTTGTCAATAGATCAAACACTTCAAATCTGAATGAAAAAAACTTGCATTCTCTCTACTCTTCTAATCTCTTACTCTCCTCTCTAATCTCACTCCTTTCTTGCTTTCTTTCTATCTATTTCTCTCTTTCTGTTCTACATCTTGGTGGCAGCAGGTGCAGAAGCTGAAAAGCAAAAGAAAGAGAGGTGAGGGAACTACTGAAAGTTGCAAGCTTTCAACAATCAACAGTTGTTTTCAGCCACTAATATTTAAAAATTAAAAAAATTATCTATTTCAATTCAGATCAGAACAAAATCAACCACTGCAAATGTAGATCCCTTGTCATACTGGTAAATACTTAGTCATACTGAGTGATAAACCAGGTATAAAACCTTGAATTAAAGTACTAGTATTTATTCAACAAAAACTTTTCTCCTTACTTTCTTTCTCGGGTAGCCACCCGTATCCATCTCAACGCTACCGAACATCCATCACAACATCCTCATCTCAAAAATACATTTTAGATGTGCTAATTTCAAACTGTCCAGTGTTCTGGATTGGAAAGCATGGGCTCTGCAACCATCTTATAAAACATTCTTCTATATAAAGGGGAACACGATGCTTGTATTGTACTCTCAGTTTCTATCCACTTTAGTCATCATGCATTGTCTTACGTGAGCAATATCTTCTTCAGTCTTCCTTATTCAATAATATATACAAGATAATAACAACTTTTGCTTTTTGCATATTTGTCGATGCATATTGCAACTCACAACCAAGTTCCGAAACCAGAAGAAAGAATGATTCTGTTAGGTAGCTTATAGTCAATAGAGAATTTTGCTAGATTTGACATGAAGGTGGATCCCTTTTTCTATCTAGCTACTCATAATGAAAAATCCATGACTATTCACTATGCTCTCTGAAAAAAGTAGCTTGTAATTGTCTAATGAGTCTATTTTTCTAATATTCTTCATTTAAGGACAGTACAAGCAGGTTCCCTCCAAATTACATTCGAAAGATTCATTCACATAGCTATTCTAGCTACCAAACCAAGCACCAAGCAAGGTTTTTATTTTATGTAAAATTTTCTCTCTCCAACACACAATGCCAAAACCAAATACAAATGCCTTACAAAAACATAGCTATGTCCTTCTCATGTTAACATTCCAATGATAATGTGACATAATCTCCATAGCTTTTAGTTGATAATTATCTTCTGGTTAACAGTCTGAATCACTTTTATGAGGGATCTAACTCAACAAAACCATAGATGTTAAATACTAAAAAAATGCTATTGTGTCATGGTTGCTTGGAGGTTCAGTGCCAGAGACAAGATGAAGAAAATAATTAAATACTGTTACTAGATGGAAGCAATGGTTGTTTCACCTTGGTTATCTTTTTCTTACATGGAAATATAGATTCCAAGTAAAAAAACCACGCAATTTCTAGATTATTTAGTTAGAATATTTAATTGAAAACTAGGCTACCCTAGCTCCATTAGAACACCAAAATGGTGAAGTTAAACAACACTAAGCAGCAGCAACAACGAGTACAATATAAGCCATAATTTCTGACTAAACTAGACTATGGTAGGAAGCAAACAACAATAATATCCAAAAACAAAAACAAAAAATATCAAGTTCAGTGAGTCTAGCTATTGGTAGGAAGCAAACAACAATAATATCCAAATTTACAATTATATAAGCATCAATTGTTATATTCATAGAAATAATATCAAAAATTAACATTTCATGATAAAAAAGGTTTTATATTAATAAAAATTTTGTACTTAAATACTAGCATTGAGGTGATATATCTCAATATCAGAGTTTGTTTCAGGAATACGTATTAAAATATAAGTTGATGAGCAAGCGAAAACACCAACATAAGATAAGATTCATTAAATGCATTTAACGGAGATAAATAGCAAGCATAAATGCAGAATGAGGAAAAACAAGATAAAGAAATCCACCTATCATAATCAACTTTAATAAAGTTCACAGCTCCTTCATCTGTACCAGTATAGTAACTGCCTTTTACAAGTTTACATGGCAGGTTTATCCGATCAGCTAGAACCTGAAAAAGATTAAAAAAATAAAATATTCAACTCCATTTGTTCAACTGTAATTGAAATCAAACAAGGAAACAAGGAAGTAGTCTACCTAAGTTATTTCTATTGTTGAAGATTATACCGAGGATCCTATTCCAAAAGTTAAAATGTAAGTAACAAAAGCTCAATGAACAAATTCAAAAGTAATCTCACAATTGGAGAATTAGTCAATTTTGTGATTTGTTTTCATGATATTTAACCAATACACCATAATTGTAACAAATGTCTCCTTCCATTCTGGGTCAACCCCATGACAGTTACATGCATTCCTGGGGACAAAACTCAAAAGATAATTGTTGATTTAATACCCATCAAAGATAAAATACTATTAAAAAAAGATAAAATACTATTCCATCTTTTACATGACAATAATAGAACGAATAATGAAAACTATCATAAAAATATGACAAAATAACCTAAATCTCATATGAATTATCAAACCCCTAGCGTCACAAAGAAAACTTCTAGATGTCCACCAACCTAACACAAGAACATGCTGTTTGTGAGTGTTGTTGGGGGGTGTCATGGGGGGGCCGGGGGGTGTGTGGGGTGGGAGGATGAACTCACAGAGTGGGTGTCTGGGCTGTGTGAATGATGATGAACTAATGGAGTCTCTGCTTATGGATCATTAAAAGACCTTGCAATGAAAAGAAATAGTTGTACATCCATGTAAATCAGTCATTCAAAGTGAAGAACAATGCAATATGAGTGATACAGTTAAAAGTTAACATATTGTGCTGATATAGGTGAGATGGAAGTATGAAACAACACAAAGTACTTCATGTGCTTGATGTTCTAAAAATAAATTTAGTTGATCTGTCTAAACCAAAAGTGTAGTAAAAGTGTAAAACGACCTTAAAAAGTAAGGCCCTGTGGCGAGATAATCCAATCCCTAGTGAGCCAAGAGGAAGAACAATAGTGTTCAAAGAATTCCGCAATTCACAGCTCTTAAGAGTCCACCTTCTTAGCATATCAATAGCATCATCAACAGGACCACCCATATTACAAACAACAAGATCTGCAATCTTCTGGATCAACCCGCTGGCAAGCAAGCCATGCTCTTCTACTTTGCTTTCCAAAGCAATAGCGATGGCCCTCCTCTCGAGCTGTTGAAGTGCATGGTCAACTGTCTGATTCACTAGAATCACTTCATAATCAATTTCATCAGACACCGATATTGCTTGGAGATCTACCAGAGAGGGTATTTTTTCTCCTACACCGGCATTTGAGATAATACCATATACATCATAAAAACCATCCATCAATTTCTCATCATAGTTCACAACATTGTAACTCTGCAACAGAACATACATGATCAAGAATTATCCATTAAATAAGTTATGAAACATAACATGAGAAAAAGGAGAAAAAGATCCAGAACTCTTAAAGTTAAAATGAACAGCCAAAAAACTTCTTGAACATATAGCAGGGCATCACCAACAAAGGGCATCAAATAAAGAAAAAAAGGGAACATGACATGCATCAAACGATAAAAACAATATTAAGCTTCATATCCTAAAATAGCGAAACATATGCTTTCAGATAGGTGCTCCAAAACTTGGTTTACCAGCTTCCTAATTTTTCAAAAAAATTTGAGGAATAAATCCATGTCATATTAAGAGAACCAATATCAATTTTAAGCACCTCGAAGTCATATAGATAAAGCTTTAGAAGCACATGTTCTGAATTGAAGGTTAGCCCTGTGTGGAGACCTCCTTCAAAATACTTACTACGGTCAACAAACTTGCTCAAAAAAAATCTCAGAGATAACTTTTGAACTATGCATTAGTCATATTCCTAGATTGTACTGCCTTTATAATGGCTTCAGAACATCTTTTAATATCGGGAGCAAGAATTTAAAATTTAAACCTTATAAAAAATGTCTTCAATCATCAATTCGTGGTTCTCTCTGTAACATCTGACTAGTTAACTAGTGGAAAAGGACGATTTAAACCATTAAAAACAAAAGATCAATGCCAGATCAAGAACCCTAAAAAGGAGAACCCTATGAAGAATCGACTCACCCAATACCGGAGCGAGAGGAATTCCATTGAACGCTCATCCGCATCACTGACACCAATAGTGGCAGATGTGGCAGCTCCAACCCCTGGCGAGCACCCCAAGCTCATCCGCTTGGCTGCCTTGATTTGCACGGAATCAGGATCCTCTAGCCCGTCGGGATCCGAAGCACTGATCGCCAGCGCCAGCTGCACATGATATTCCTCCTCGAACAAACTGAAGTCCGATCCCGCCACAGCCGCCCCATCGCACCGCGATCCCCCGTCCCGGGGCTCCTCCGCCGCCGCCGCCGCCACCGTGTCTTGAGCCCTCCCTCTCGAACTCGACGACGAAGAGGCGACCAACGAGGACTGGGCGGAGGAGGCGGGCGGCCGAGAGGGGTTCCTCGTCGGGTCACCACCAAGCCGCTGATGATGATGGTGGGGGTGGTCGTTGCCTCCTCCACCACCTCCGCCGCCGCCTCCGATGTGGAGCTTCCGTAGGAGATGCTTCATCCTCGACATTGACCATGAGACTCGAACCCCTCTTCTCTCTCTCTCTCTCTTCCACTCTCTTCCACTCTCTCTCTATATATTTATTCCTTTGGATTATATTAATTAATCAATAATTAATTATATAGCGAACTCTTATCTGGATCTAATCGCACCATACCGATTTATCTACGATTAACCCTCGTCAAACTCGGTCATCATACCCCTCGAATATACCTGATTTTAAATGGAAAAAGAAGTGGAGCCCATGCGAGACTGACCTCTGGCCACAGCTTTCTCAAACCACACGACGAGTGGGTCGGGAGAACGTACGAAAAAAGAAAGCACGCGATTACGCTGCACGACACATGGTCGCTAGTGGAACAAAAGAAATCATTCCTTCCGCTTCTTTTGTTACCCACAGCGCATTCCAGCCCGGTATTGGAGGAGTCATGACTGGACCAAATGGGACCCACTTTCCTCCCCGAATGACAAGAAAGGTATAAGTTTGTATGTCGTGAAAGAGTAGCAGACGCGGGCAGGGCAGATTCGCTGGAGATGAGTTGACGGCCCCCACTTAAAGGAAGGAGTTGTTCACACAGGGGAGAATGCATCCATCGGATGCAACTCTCGAGGGGATAATGACAAAGACTTGGACTTCGGGGCATCTCTCAAATTACGCCTCACTTGGAACGCGTACTTGCCCTGTGATTGGATGCAGAAACGGGCCCAAACAAATCAATCAAGTGTTCCCAGGCTTCCCAACCAATATAAAATCTGGGGAAATCTGATGTATGGAATTCTGTCATTATATAAATGATAACTAACTCATCGAAATTAACGCTAAACTTTGTATCGAGTCGATTAATATCTTATTTGCGTTTGAATTGTTAAGAGAAGAATTCTCGTTTGAAGTTGGCTCGATGTGATCTCAAATCAACCGAGCCCGAGTCAAACATGAACTCGAGTTCGACCTGTTCACGAGCGTCAGACTCGGTGTAGTTGTCTGGTCGGAATAGAGGAGAGTGATGTGCATGTGAGGATTGGACGATCGCGATGAAATGGGGAGTTGTTCCTCGATCATCATCACGACTAAATCAACGGATGGTGGAGAATACCACTTCACTTGAAGGTTGACGGCTTTAATTTTGACCATTCAGCTTATAGCCAATTTATTGTCTTGATTATATTGTTTTTTAATGTATTTTAGTGTATATATAAAATATTGTAATTGATATAATAAATTTTATTCCTAGAGGATAAATCAATCCTTTGCACGATAATAATTAATTCACCATATGAATCGGCGCATAGGTGGATTTTTTTCTCGTAAATTCATATAAATTTATGATGTTTCTTCGAATCGAGATGATGTAAGTAGATTTAGTTTATATTAATTATATTACAATTACATATTTTATGTAAAATAAAATATAAAAAAAATTATTATAATCGTGACATCATAAAATTTCTTCCGATCGTCTCGATCTTTCAATATAGCATACAAATATAATATACGTAGTGATTTCATTTAAATCTATATGATTTTATAATTTTTAAAGTCAAATTTGATATATTTTTAAGTTGATTATGTAATCAAGTATAAAATGGTTCATTATATGAGTCGTTGTTTTTTAATATAAAAATAATAGTTATATAAGTTTTTCTATTTTAGATAATTTTAATTTGAATTCGAATAGATAAAAACTATGTAACAATTTTTAATGGATAATTAACATATTTTTCTTTT